CACACACACACACACACACACACACACACACACACACACACACACACACACACACACACAGACACACATACGTACATAGATACACACACGCACACACACAAACCAACAGACACGATTAGCGCGTTATATACGATAGGATAATTCATCCTGCACTTATGTATTTCCTCACTCTGTTGGCGAATCGTCAAGTACTGTTCTGCTTTCATTTTATTAGTGCAAACAGCTAACAGCTTGCGTATTCGTTGTTGTTGAGCAGCTGAGTTGCTTAATGAACACGCCGTTCTCTTTGGATTCAAACCACTTATCGTGAACATGTTGCATCATGATTCTGAGTTGATTTGAGAACGCATCAAAGCATCAAACACAAATGTGAAATTTTTGATTTGTGCTTAACACCTTAACAAGCTGGTCTATAGGCAAAGATCGTTCATGAATTTATGCGGAAAGTACTGAGCGCCAAGAGTCTCAAAGAAATCTGCTGAGACCCATGGAATGATGTCGTTTCTGGTAATGGTTTCAGCTCAAAGGTGAGTACGTGCGCATTTGAATGCTTAGTGCTGTAATAAAAGTCTGTGATAATTCCTCCAAAGGAAAAGGAGCTTTTTAGGAGCCATGTCAACCAAGCCTTCCATCCCTCCGGGGTTGGTCAATACACCACTACAACTCTGAATGGAAGTCGAATGCGTGGGCGCATCCATCAGACGGGATTGATTAACGCCCCAAGACTTTATCCTTTATCCTTTGAAGTTTAGCTTGAGTTTCTAGAGCGTTGACATTTCAAGGGTAGTGCAGGATGGAAATCGTGGATAGGATGGTGGATGACAGACATTGGGGACATCTGGCAAGGTGATAAGAAGCCTGGAAAGGGAATAGCCACAGGAGCCGTTATACCCTCTGTGTAAACAGTTGCGACACTTTGGTAAAAGATTTGGGATGTAAAAAACTAAAGGATGGTTGGCCATAAAAGGCTGATAACAGTGGTGATGACCGATAAGTAGCCACAAATGGCAAAAATCATTGTGTGCATGACGCCATCCGTCACTTTGATCACTTCACCATTGCAGAATGACGGAATCGAGACTAGTTGCTAATAGGAACCGAGAACGCAGTGAAATGGGGGGACCTAAACCTCCTCATCTATACGTATTTTTAGTGAAGCGTTGCTACGTCACTGTGTAATGAATGGCGTAACTGGATCATCAAGCGAATAGTAAAAGGCAGAAATTACGACTGATATCCTACTATCCTATTAGGTTGTAAGGAAAGTTCTGGCCGTTCCCACGCACGCGCTATATGAATTAAATTTTGGCGGCTGTCCATTCAGACTAATCGACATATTGTGCTCTTTAGGTAAGTCATTAGTTGCTCTTTCTGTCATAGCGCTTTCCTCGAAGTCTGTAAGGTTTTGGAATCTTTGGGAGGCTTTTCTTTGGCAGAATGGATAACACTACATTTTGAGCGGTTTTACTTCACGAGTTCAAACTTGGTCGAACTGCGAAGGATGCAGCCACAAACATCAATGTTGCATGGGGAGAAGGCATTGCAACGGAGCGAATGGTCCGTCGCTGGTTTCAGAAGGTTAAAAGTGGAGACGAGTCACTGGAAGACGAAGAACGAGTTGGTCGACCATCGTTAGCTGATCACGAAGTTTTTCTAAGAGCAGTCGAAGAAGATCGACGTCAACCTTTGAGAGAGATTGCCAAGAAGATGGGTGTCTCCCACACAGTAGTCGCTGCCCACCCAAGCAGCTTGAAATGGCGAAGAAGGTGGGTGCCACACGAACTCACGGAGCAGCAACAATTGAAGCGTTAAGAGGTTTCAAGTTCGCTGTTGATAAGAAAGATGTGGAGCCTTTTCTCCATCGTATTGTAACGTGTGATGAGAAATGTATCCTGTATGATAACAGGAAGCGTTCTGCTCAGTGGGTGGTTGTGGATGAACCTACCCAAAAAATTTCCCAAACCAAGTTTACACGTCACGAAGACAATGATCACAGTTTGATGGTCCAGCCATGGATTAATCCACCACGGTTCCTTCCTCCACGACAAACCATCACCGTCCAATCCTATTGTGATCAAATTCATGAGAAGTACCCGAAACTGGTCCAAATGCAGCCAGCACTAGTCAGTCGCCACGGTCCTCTGCTCTTGCACGACAATGCGCAACCGCATGTGTCACAAATTATCTTCCAGAAATTGAACGAGCTGCTAATCGAAGCTCTCGCTCATCCATCCTACTCACCAGACCTGTCACCAACTGACTATAACTTATTCAAACATCTGGACAACTTCTTAAGGGATCGGGTATTCAAAAATCAAGGCGACATGGAAGCTGCCTTTCTCGAGTCCAGCTCTCCGGACTTTCATAAGAATGGAATAGACAGACTTGTATCACGTTGGCAAAAGTGTGTAGAATCGAATGGGGCTTACTATGAATAAAGATGTTCACTTTGAGATGAATTATAACTTTTTGAAAGTTAGCTGACAAAACGGCCAGAACTTTCCTTACAACCTAATACGATATATAATCGGCTAAGTGTGTCTGTTGGTTTGTCTGTGTATTATGCGTGAAAGAGAGTTCAAATTTGAGAAGATTCGGACAGGGGTTTGAGTGAGATGAATTTTGAAATTTGGGGGGGGGGGGAGTTAATAACTACTTCTCCGTGGACCTGGGGCACTCAAAGTTGGTAGGAAATCAGGAGACAGGATAGGAACACGTACGATAGGTGACACACTTGACTTGACTGCACCCACAGGGGTGGGGTTTGCGCGAAAATGTCAACTTAGACCTTGCGCTCAAATTTGGTAGGAGTGCAGGTGGCAGGATTGAAACAGTTATGGTCAGAGGGTGGGGTTTGCGCGAGATAATTATCTGAGCGGGAGTTCATAACTTCCGTTACCTTGGACCTAGAGAGTTTTGGGCCTTGGAGAGCAAGAGTCACTTCCAATTAAATCCTAACGTCTTCAGCATTTCTTCTCTTGCTTTGACTCTTTGATATTTTCATTCGATAAGACGAGTAGGTGCAGTGATCGGGACGGATTAAACGCACTACGTTGTAAACAGATGAAAATTTAGTCACGAATAATATTATTATAGATTACGACCGCTACACAACAAGGCCTGTGAATAAGTGGCTGCTTTCATAGTCCGCCGGCGTGCCGGTCGAGGTAGTGGTAGGGAGGGGGAGGGAGGCAGACTGTCGGTCTACGCGGTCACGTCGCGCCCAAGCCCATTCGAAAGCTGAAAACAAAGAAAAACAAGATCAAAAACCATTTGCATTTGCCCTTCGAAGGGGCTTATGCAAATGGTTTTTGATCTTGTTTTTCTTTGTTTTCAGGGGCTTGGGCGCAACGCGAGCACGACGACCGACCGTCTGCCTCCCTCCCCCTCCCTAGCACTACATCGGCCGGCACGCCGGCACGCCGGCGGACTATGAAAGCAGCGAGTGAATGATCATGACTTCCCCTTGTTTCGATATCATTTGCTGCAAAACTAATTTGACCGCCAATAATCTGGGATTCTCAATTAATGGATACGAGTCGGGCCGCCCGGCTAACGAGAAATTTGCAGTGCGTAAATAATGCATCAGATTCTCCTTTTTCTTAGAATGCTAAGCTTTCTCTACACCCTAATGTCAGCTCCGATTTGGGAGCGATTTTTCCTGTTAGCCATCTTCGCTGTGTTCGAATAGAACATTGTATAATATCACCGAGGCGATTATTCAGAGAAAAAAAAAGTATTCAGAGATTTCATTGCGGCTGAGGCTGCTATGTTAGCTACCATCAATTTTCCCAGCCAACTCCTTGTGCTTTCAAGTTTCAACGGTCCGGGTTCAAACGAACAGTATTTATTCACGCCCCGCCCTTTGGGGCGGAGTTTAGTCCTGCAACCTATCACCAGTGTACTTATCGTGCCTCCCGTTTTCCTACCAAGTCGCTCTAGCTCCATTTTGACATTTCTCTGCAAGCCCCGCCCCTGAGGGCGGAGTCCGGCCGTGACACCCACCGCAAAGATTCCCATCCTTCCTATCAAGTTTGAACGCTCTCGGACCACGGGGAGAGGAGTTATGAATATGCGGCCCAAAATTTCTATCGCGCACGCTCCGCCTCCTGCCCTCACCATAAATGTTCATATCCTGCTGCCTGTACTCCATCCAAGTTTGAGCGCTCTAGGTCCACGGAGACAGGAGTTATGAATTTGCGACTTAGAATCTTTATCGCGCACGCCCCGTCCGCTGTGCACGAAGTCCGATCCTGCCAACCACCATAAGTGTTCACAGCTGACGCCGGGCTCTCTTCCTTCTTGGGACAAAGGGACTTCGCCCGAAAAACATCAAATTAATGAAGTTCTTCCCCCTTTTTTCTAGGTTATTTCGCTGTTTCGCTGAGCTAGAGTATAGACTATCAAATGCCTTCAAATATGCATCCCCTTTTCTCTACGGATACATCATTCAATGTGAATCCAACATTATTAGCGGTCGGATAAGTTTTGCTAAGAATGATATCAAAGCAGAGAGAAACCGTAATCTTTCACTTAATCGCAAACTCTGCTGGGTAGCGGTCGTAAACCAATAGCAAGAAGTGAACCAAATTCATCTCCTTATAATCGCACAACTTACCCTTCTTGTCGAATGAAATATATCAAAAAGTCAAAGCTAAATCGTAAATAACAAAGGCGCTAGGTAGGAGGTAGTTGGTGAGTGGATCTTCTTCTTTAGAGCCTCGTCTATTGTCAGTGTTCCCATCCTGCCTCCTCCTATTGATTTTGCTCTCCAAGTCCACGGGATCAGGAGTTCTGGGTTTCCACTAATTTATACCGTGAAAAGGCCGTCCCTTGGGGGCGGAGTCCGGCCCTACTACTCACCATAAGTGTTCCCATACTGCCGTCTGCTTCCTACCAAGTTTGAACGCCCTAGAGCCAAACTGAAAATTTTGGAGCAAATCTCGCCTTTTATGAGCGGGTTCCGNCTTCCCGACTCCAGGCGTCCCGTTTATCTTTGTAGATGTGACGGGCAAATCGGCGCAGGCCCCTAGTATGTCCCATTTTAATGAAAATGAAATTTCAGCATGTTTAGGCGTTCTGCGCAAGCTCCTGGGATTGGGTATTGCTCCGCAGGAAATCTGCGTGATTACCTTTTACAGGGAGCAGTATCGTCAGATGAGGCCGCACGCCGAGCAGTACAACGTCGAGCTCACCACCGTGGACTCCGTCCAGGGCCGGGAGAAAGAGGTTGTTCTTTTGCTCACTACAAAAACTCATTTTAATCCAGATGCGGACACCTTCATCAACGACTACCGGCGCCTAAATGTGGCTACCACCCGCTGCCGCCATGGCCAGTTCGTTTTTGGGCATGCGAAATCGCTCCGGGCACTGCCGACATGGAACACCCTGCTGCAATGGGCTTATTCGCTCCGCGCCGTCGTCACTCAATCGCAAGTACTCCGGTACTTTGAACCGTGAGCGTTTGTTCGGTGAGCCGCTTTTGTCCTTCACCGCCGTATGCAAGCACGTTTGAAGTCCGGGTCGGACTTCGGGTAAAGAGGGGAGGTGTAAGTGATGCTGTGAAAGCGGGAAGATAGTTAGGCGACTTTCATGATTCATCTATTTCAGGGCGGAGCGAAGCCGATGGAAGCTGTCAGGGAGTCGGCCAGCGGTGGGACTGCAGGACAGTCGCCTTTCTCTCCACGTTTCTCTTGCATCTTGGGGCGCTGCCCCAGTCACGAAGATCTGTTTGTCAACCTATTGCTTTCTTCGCTCGCCTTTGTATATATGTTCTCCTATCGTGTTATACTTATATCATTTTATTCGTATCCCGAGTTGTTATGAGAAGTTATTATAATTCGTTAGTTGCTGCTCATATCTCGGCCTTGTGATCTCTATCTGCTCTAGTTAATATTTTCATAATAAAACTTAGTTAATTATTAGTCTAAGATGTACAAGCACGAGCCGCTGCGCGCGCCAGCTTACTCAACCTGTCATCAGAAAGAGGAGAGCCGTGGTTAGTCGGGCGATCCGACTGGTATATGTATAGCGCGTGAAGCGTGTCTGTTGGTTTTGTGTGTGCGTTTGACGTTTGACGTTTGAATATCATAAATCCTGTTACAGTAGAGCTAAAGCGCTTAAATTTGGTAGGGGTACAGGCCGCAGTATGGGAATGCTGAGGGTAGGTGGCACCAGGGTATCCGTTAACTGGGCACTTCAGTGGTGCCACCTAGCACCAGCATTTCCATACCGGAACGTTAGCGAAAATTGGTCAGTTCGGTCACGGGTGTTCAAATCTGGTAGAGGCACAGGTGGTAGACCAGGACACTGATGATAGTTCGTAGGAAGTGAGTGAGTAGATCCTGTCAACGAGGGCGTGGGGAGCAGCGGGGTCTGCTTAAGATGGGAGCAATCTGAGTAGCTTTGCACAGTCAGGATGGAAAAAGAGGGAGATGAAACAAGTGACTAGAACGTACTGTTGAGCAGGACTCAGCTCATGACGAGCGAGGCGCTCGCGAAGTGTGTCGCCTGTGTGGTGTGTGTTTGGACGGAAATTGCCCTCCTGTGCTACTGTACCGAAAGCTTGGGCGGGATGCCATCTTCACAGGAAAAGGGGGCGCCCGGCTAACGCTGGGTTATACGACTGATAGGCTTTCAAGTGACTTCATAAGGCGAGATCCACTAGGTTGGTTCACTCTTTAATGCGCTATGACGTGGTGGTAAAGATTGAAAAGCGACAATAGCTGTGAGTGGGGATGAGTGATGTGAGAACCATACAAGTAGAGCAAAATTTAGATCATTCCTTTCTATCAAAATACAACTAGTCCGCGTCAAGGTTTGCAACTCCCTGAGTGGTTACATTTCTCTTGATGCGACAATATTTACTTCTTGCTAACGAAGTCGCGCAGCTCGCGTCTGCACCACATGTGACCGAGTTTGGCTCCCTAGGCTGAAGTACTGTCCCTCTTGAAGGACCGCGGGCTCTTCCAGGGAACGGACTCGGGCCAATGCTTCATTACGTCTTCCGTATGCTCTCTAGGTACACGTCTTTGTTGGTTTGGTGGTCAAGGTCACCCACAAGTTAAGTGACTTGGCAACCTTGCATTGCTTAATCCTACACTGTCTGTTGATATCGGAAATCAATTGACATTTCTGCACACAACAGGTATGGCATTGAGGCTTTTGCTTGACAACCATGGACGACTTCCTAAATTCCTTCCTTTCCATGGGTCACTCGGGATTACGGTCGACTCGCAAAATAGCTACTTAAATAGTCCAATCTTTAAAAACACTAGCCTTTCTACAAATTCCTGTGTCTTTGATTGATTCTGCTTCTACGCGTCGTTTAACAGCCTTCTCTACGGTCAGACTTGAAATCACAAAAAGTTTCACTAAGTCTTTCCGCTTCTTGCATGCGAACGATTGCAAGTGGCATGGAAAGAGCCTTCACCTTGACAACATTTTGGTGGTCTCGTTTCAGGTGCTGTTCGTGTTGCAAGAACACCTACTTGTGCAACTGATTAACAGCGAGTATAGCGAAATTAATAAAGCATTCCTGCGGTAGAAGTTCCTGATTAGGCACCCATAATTTTGGAACACACTATATTATCATCAGTTGACAACATTAGTGAGTATAAGTCAAGCTTAGGTTGAGTAATCATGCTCAGCTGAAACAAATTGTTGCGCCAGCAGACCCAATAGAGGATAGGTTCAAATCTTCAATAGATGATTATTGTTTAGATAGGAGCAACAGCAACATATCGGGGCCATACTTATCATGAGCAGGAGCATCATCACATATTGCACCAAACAATTCGCTCTCTTCTCTTCTTTGAGGGTTGAGGGATATGAAGTGGTCATAACCATTCGGCTTTAAATTTCAATGATTTTGTTATTAAAGTTTTCCAGTCGCTCCGAAACGTTGAATGGCGGGTCAGTCGAGCTTTCCGTCTTTATCAGAGAAGGGAGGCTTCAAAGCATATGACTGCTATACGATATGACATTAGTAGTATTGACAACGAGTATTGCAGCAGGAACAACGAACATTTTGTGTTCCCATTAATGATCGACAAGGCGCATGTGTCTACTCATGGGCTTTTCGTGCAAGAGATTTTAGCGTGTTCAAGAAGCACTTACTCTATGTTAGTTTAGAATGACAGATTGGTCTTTTTGATCTAGAATCTCAAAGTTGAAAGTGCATCTTTCCCCGATAAGGTCCCAATCAATTGTAATTCTGCTGTTCTGTGGGACGACGAGTCCAACAGTGCGGATAGAATTAAGAACATCTTCTGGCGTGAAGCGTTTTCAACAGTGGAGCTCGACGATTATGTAGAGCGGGGGTCCAGGAAGTGTTTCGCCGCTTTCCAACGTTATTCACTTCTCTTGTGTGGCCTTATATGAATGATACCGTGGTTGGCTTTTGCGGGGGAAACCTTTTTCATTCTATGATACTTCCCTCAATGTATAGAACCTAACTCATCACAGTGCTCCTCACCTTCACCTCTTTAGTATCGATCAGAATCTTCATCCCCTTGGCTTAAAATCATTCAAGTCAAAGGCACAGTTCACAATAAAAATGGTCTCTGGGATCTGGGACTTTCCTATAATATGAATTCGAGGCTCCCCCTCATACCATGTCTGCCCTTATAAGGTCGAAAACGTCCTTGACAGGGCACAATGAGGGGCCAGAGATTGTATTGTGTGAATGCCACACCCGTAGTGGACGAGTTTTAAAGCCATTGTGCAGTGTGCACTATCTCAAGTGACTTCCATGCAGGTATTTCAAACAACTTGTCATAACCCATGACGACAGCGAAAGGCAGTTTCGGACGACTTTAGTTTGATTACTTATCTCTTTCTCATTTACATTTACATTTATTTCCGTTATTCATCTGAAATAAACAGAGAAACGGGCCATGATCTTGGACCATTCAGAGGTTGCTGCAATGTTCTTCCCTTCTGTTCCCGCGAACATCTTGAAATCATCTTCCCATCGTGTACGTGGTCGTCCCACCGGTCTAATTCCATTGGGCTTCCATTTCATCAGCCTTACTTCCCACCTTGTCTGGTCTCTTGTCATTAATTTATTTGCATAGATCCACTTGCGCTTTCTGGCTTCGACGACAGCGTCCTTAAGTTTAGTCCTTGCTCGTAGTACATTTGGCGCTCCATTCGTCGCTGACATTTTCTAATGCGATCCTCCGCTGCCTTGGTTAAGACCCACGTTTCGCAACCATACAGTAGAGTGAGTAACACGCGAAGTGAAAGAAGCGTCGTTTGGTCATAATTGGTGTCATTCGGCTTCTCAACAGAGCTCGGACTTTTCTGCTGATTCCCCAGGCAGCGCTGAGCATCGCTTGTAGCCCATCGACTGTAGGTGAGCACAGAAACACATCGTCGGCGTAGGCGAGATAGTTAAGGCGAACGTGTTCAATGTGGTAGCCTTGCTCGCACCAGTCGATTTCATCGAGACACGATTGAAGTGTCAAAATAAATAACAGTGGAGATAGAGAATCGCCTTGTCTAACGCCACGTTGTATGTCTATCTCCATCTCCATCATGCCCAAGGCCAAAAACGATCGTCCAGAAGCATACAGCTGTTTGATCATTCTAGCTGTGCAGTCATCCACTCCAAACTTCTCCAGTGCCTTTCAAATGATTTTGTGTTCGATTATATCTTAAGCTTTCTGGTAGTCAATAAAGGCCATGTTGAGTGGTTTTCTCCATTCATTACACTTTTCCATTAATAAGTTGACTGACAGGATATGATCACGAGTGGAGAAGTTACGTCTGAAGCCAGCTTGTTCCACAGGGGCTAGCTCCATAGCCACTTCTTCCACACGACAGGCCACTGCGCGGGTTAGAACTTTGAGGACAGTCGATAGAAGAGACATTGGTCTGTAGTTACTGATATTCAGTGGATCGCCTTTTTGTATAGAGGAGGATCATCCTTGCCTTCGTGAAACTTTCTGAAAACTCATTGGCCTTGAAATGGTGGTTTAGTGCATTCGCAAGGTCCTCCGCGCATAAAGGTATCAGATGCTTCGTCGCTCCAGATGGGATACCGTCAGCTTCCGGTGCAGTGTTTCCACGAATTCTCCTACATGCATTACGAAGCTCCTCTGCTGTTATCGGACGTCTCAAAGAGCCTATCGCTGAGAAGACGAGGGGTCCATCACGTGATCTGTAGAGGTCGTTATAGAACGTAGTTGCAATGGCCATGGCTTCCTGTGGAGTCGTTGTTGGGGTACCGTCAGGATATCGCAGTTGGGCTATTTGTCGACGTTCATACGCTAACTCATGTCTTGCATGCCTTATCTTCAACTTGTCTATCGCATTTTTCATGACTCATCGTTGTGCTTGCGGAGATCATCTGTCAGTGACCATCTAACTTGTTTGCACAGTAACGTGTATAGCACAACAGATATTGATCCACTTGTGAGTCCGAACTTCTGTTTTCTTCTTTATTCCATTAGCGCCAGTATTCTAGCAGGAGTTCGCTCCACTCTTTCCTGCAGTATTTGTGATACAGCTTTGCAATTACACGCAGCCTTCACAAAACTTTGGATGTCGAAGCCATTTGCTGGACGTGTCTGCGTTGCCATTGCTGCTTGAAGCTTGAGCTTGTCAAAAAGCGGAGGTAGAGGTCTTGACTTCTGCCGGAAATGAGCAGGTTTCATGCACATAGACAGAGTTATTCGCACCATCCGGTGATCACTCCCAACATTTCATCCGGATAGGGTCGACACGCCACGAACGTACTTCAACTTCTTGCACAGAACATGGTCTATTTCGCTGCGAGTGTTTCCGTTTGGACTCCTCCAGGTTCAATTCTCTTCCAAATCTTTTCTTGAAAGATGTATTAGCGATTACAAGATTATTGGAGTCGAAGCAGCGAAATACCTCGGTCATTCCGATTACCAGTTCCAAAAGGTCCGCAAGCAGTTTCTTTGTTTCCTGAACGTCCAATAATTGCATTAAAATCGCCACAAATGATTTCAGGCATCGCTTTATTTTTCGTAGTTATCCTAGCAGCTTCTATCTCGTCCAGGAATCGCTCGAAGTCGTCATCTGTTGCTGTAGAGGTCGGGGCGTGCACTTGAATAATGCTGAGACGTCTTCGTTTTATAAGAAATTCGGCTTGTATTACGCGATCACTAATAAAACGTACACCAACAAGCTTTTTGTTCATACGTAACGACATGTATAACCCTACATCAGCATACGTGGGAGCACCGTCACAACGTCCACTGTTGTAGAGCACAAAACTAGATCCAAGTTGAGTGCGCTCACGGTTCAGTCTTCGAGTTTCAGCCAGTCCAATTACAGCAAATCTCACGTTCATGACATTGGCTTCGAAATCCGCGAGTCTTTGTTGAGAGCATAGTCCTCGGACGTTCACGGTGGCTATCTTCATGAAGGTTCTTGTACGGGTATCGCTACTGCTGGGTGGGTTTGACGGCGAAGTCATCGTTGGCAGAAAACGAACCGTCCGCGGGGAGAGTAGACGAATGGAATGATCTCTTTCTCAATGGAGCAAATTAAATCTCGTCTAAACACCCCTTTTACATGCCATTCCCGTTACGGTGATTTTGTACAACCTCCAATTCCCCTAATTTCAAAATGGATTTGGATTTATTGTGAGTTAAAATGCCTGAAGTAGGCAGATTTTCTCGCTATCTTTGCCACCGATGTACGCCTCGACATCAACACTTCCGCTTTTCACCTAAAAAAGGTACCTCACATTTGTTGTAAACTGTGCCTTTAAGATTCTAACTAACACTGCACCTCAGCAAAATCAGCGTTCCATTCTACGCTAGTAAGCTCACCCTTGACCGGCACTGTAAGAGATTCGCTCTAAAACTTTGTAAGCTCCTTTCAGTATTCTTTTATAGACAAATCCCTTAAAATCGAACACTAGTTGAGAGTAAGCAATTGCGAATTATGTACATACTCCATAACAGAATACATATTTCCACCCGATAGTGTAGAGAAACGAAAAACCAAGAAACTTATCTATTATCGGGTTGTCCAAAAAGTTTCCACCGATTTTTGATTCATCTTTGAAAGAAAATTCCTAGAAGAAGAAATCAATTGAATGAACAATATATCCTCCATTCTGTTGAGTAAGGATTTGCCATCTTCCTGTATGTTCCAGTTCCCCTCTTTCATGGGAGGTTCCAGATTTAAAATCGAAAAACCCTCTCAGGTGCTTTTTGCAGTCCTCTAGCGGATTGAACGATTTCCCATTCAAAGAATTTTGCAGAAACCTAAACAAGTGGCATTCTGATGGCGCTATGTCTGGACTATATGGGGGGTGTGGTGAAACATCCCACCCAAGCTTTAGCAACTTTCGACGAGTGGCCAAAAATACGTGTAGTTTGGAGGTATCCTGTTAGAAGTTTACGCCCTCACGATGGTCACTTCGGGTCGCTTTTAGTCTATCGCTGCCTCCATATTTCCTAGCTGACTATAGTACCTTTAGAAAGTCATCGTTTGATTATGCGACAACAGCTCATGGTAAGTGATTTCCTTGGAGTTCCATCAGCAACTCGGCATAGTATTCCGCACCCAGATTTTGACTTTGCAGCGGTCTGTGACGGCTCACTAGAGGGGCTCCACGATCGCTTCCGCTTCTCACTGTTGTACACAATCCAATTTTGTCCTTCGTGCTCATTCGTTTAAGAAACGGCTCGTTTTTATTTCGTTTGAGCAACGAGTCGCACTTGAAGGCGCTGTCCATCACATCGCGCTCGCCCATTCCGAGGGATATCTAAACACCAACTCGTTTTACAAAACCAAGTGTCTGCAGATGACCATGAATGGTCAACTTTGAAACACTAAGCCCTTGTCCTACTCCACGAGTAGCTATGTGCTGATTCGCTTTGGTTCACATTTTGATTTGGTCGCTTCAACTGATGATGGTCTCCCTGAAGGTTGCCGGTCTTTGAGCTTAAATTCACTCTGAGTGGATTTTGCAAACTAGTCATGCACTGTACGTTCCTCTAGAGCATGGTCCACTCAAACGTCATATATCTTTCATGCGGCTTGAGCCGCATTCTAGGCCTTGTGGTAGAAGAAATACTTCAGATGCCGAAAATGCGCGCAGTGGTTCTCCATTTTCACACGAGTCCTGTACAGAAAAACTCCGACAAATGTTGACAGAATTCCAACAGGAACATAGAGGAGGACCTACTCTTTCAGAATACATATAACTTCATGAGGTTGGGTCCTTGATCTTTTGCACAACAGTTGATAAATCCGGGGCGCCGAAAATCGGCGGGAACTTTTCGGACAACCCAATAGATTGATGCATAATTACTGTGGATTTTTTCGCGGCTTCTTTTCTCGATGAAATTGAACTTCTGAATTCGAGATTTTTGTAGAAATAATCTTCTCGCTTTCCTTAACAGAAATATGTCTAGAAAGTCATCTTCATATACGCCACATTATGCTCTATTACTTCGAGAAATCTTAGAAGGCGGCACGCTAATAACGTGATCTCAACGAACTTCTCGGCGATGCAACAGTCACCCAAAGCCGAACAAGGAATAGAATCAGCTTCTGCGATCGCCCTATCACCAACAGAAACCCTATGAATTGTCATATCAGTTGTCTGTTGAAAAATTGGTTAACGAACACAACTTTCGCGAAGTGGATAACTTGATGACCAACGTCAAGGCATGATCGTACTGGAGAATTATTTGAATAATCCTTTGCTGATTTTCTATCGTTTCTTCAGGTGATTTTGCTGAAAAAAATCCGCAATAACTATGCATCATTCTAGTAAAACCACTGCGCTACGGCATCCTCACGGTGGTTTATGCCCTTTATTCCTTGAGCTCCTGTGATACGTAGATAACTGATTTCACTAGTTTCTTCCGTTTCTCTTTACTATCAGATGGGTATATGTCTTCTATCGAGGGGAAGCGCATTGGATAGGGATACTCATGCGGTGAGGTCTACTATTTCAAACGGACAGCTAGTGCATGGTGTTCCCTACGAAATTCGTTCCTAGGATTGGTAAGTGCATGATTTCATAACCAGTTGGATTTCCGTGTTACAAAGTCGGGATGCACATCGACCTTCCTTTCGTTTTTCCGGATCAAAAGATTCATTTCTGATGGCGAATTCGTCGAGGGGAATTTCCAATGACGCACGCATTACAAATTCAACACGGGACGAGTACGATTAGCGCTAACGCTTACGGAATCTCCATTTGTTGCCCATATTTCTGACAATGATGCTCCATTGGAAATCCTTCCCATTATTGGATCTATGGCACCAAATCTTCTACATCTGAGTAACCTCATCGTCAAATTGCAGCCTTAAATGATACTCACTCATGTTCTTCATTGATGATAATTAGTCCTTCTTATCTTCAACGATATAAGGTACTAAACGAAAATACATGAGGAGCGAACCCTGACGCGTAGTCGTCGTAATCTAATAACAAGGAACGAACCAGATTTCGCTCTCCTTTTGTGCTGATGAGTTTTATCGGCATTCACCACTACACATGCCAATAATTTTTTTTTGTCAACATACTCTATCATAACGTCGTGCCCTAAGAATCATCCTACTTTATATAATTCCGTAGGTGTTTCTGTTGGTTTGTATGTATGTTTGTTTGCAGTGCCTTTGAATCAAAATTCACAGTTCCTGCTCCCCTCGACCTAGAGTGCTCAAGTTTGGAAGGCGAATAGGCTGCGGGATGAGAACACTGATGGTAATCGGTAATCAGTGATATCAATAGGGACTGGTAAGGACTGATAAGGACTCCCAAAAGGGAAAAGCTAAGGAACCCAGGTCGCCCTGTTGACAGTGGAATCTGCACTCTGGTGGCGATGTGGGGTATAAAGGGAACGTGGTAGCCAGTAACAAAGATTAATAGCAAGGGATAAGGGTTGCTTATGAGCTTTTCAAGTACCCCGACGCATATAATGACAATCGTGTTAACAACGGAACTTCGGCACTTTGATGGATGATAGGGAGTGCGATGGAATCTTGCTAGCAGGGACTAAAAGCAAACAGTATGGACTGATAGTTGCCACAGAAGACGGAGTCCCTGAGTCCGTAGCGTTACTAGTCTTCACTTTGAAATCTTGGCATTTCGGAGATGGTGTGGCGTCTGATGGGATCCTAGGTACTTGATGACAGTATCTGATAACAGTCGATAGAGCTTATAGGAAGTTATATATGGCAGAAGTCTAGGCTCGATTGAGAACTTCGGATAAGTAGTGGAAGCTCGACAGAATAGACAACGATGTAGAACTCATTGGGATCCTGGATTGTTGGTGACAAAACAAGTAACAACTGATAAGGGTTGATATAGATAAGTGTCATTAGATTAATTCCCTTTTGCTCATTGCAGCGCTTAGCACGGCATTAGCACTATTGCTTCGGTGTGTGATATCAGGATACGGTTGGATGGGAGACCTCGGATTATAGGGAATTCTTCGTTTTCTACACCTATGGTATACGCGATGCAGCCGTGACCTTCTGACATGTTTCATAACATAAGATGGTGAAAATGTAGTTGGGGGATGGGGCAGGGTAGCCATCGCAAGGTTGGTATATCAAAAAATGAACTTAAATGTACTCAATGATACGTGTTATACCGCATTACATCAGAGACATCCGGTTTAATCACTTTCTACCACATACCATCAGGGGCCGGCTTCTGCCGCCTGTACTCCTACCAGATTAAACGCCTCAGATCCAAATTAACAACTTTCACGCACGCTTCGTGTAGGCGGGACACAATCCTGTCATCCACCATCAGTGTTGATCCTGCCCTATGTAATCCTATTAGGCTTGAACGCTCTCGGTCCACGGCAGTAATACAGCAGTTATGAAACAGAAATTATGAATTTACCCTGACAGACTAATTTCCAGTCTCTAGGTCCACGGGAAAGAGAGCAATGAATTTCTGGTTGACTTACACAAACACACAGATTAGCCCGTTGTAGATAGTATATAGTACAGCAGGATGGGGAGGAGGTGTGGGCACGTGGCCAACTTTCACACTCGCATGGTCAAGGGATAAATCTCCGGCTTGATAAATGCCCAGACAGACCAAGTTGCATGATTTTAGAAGCACTGCATTGTTCATGAGCTGGCTAAGGCATTGTTTATTCTGCATACGTATTGAAACGCTACTGTGATCTTAGAAAGAGGTCGAGTACTGGTCGGGATCCCGAAATACAAGTTTGATCAATGCCAAAACTTTTGTTTTTTTTTTTTGCAACGAATTACCGCTTAATTGTCGCAAAACTTTTCATTATCTCCGTCATTTTTTTTATGCAGGTGCTAATAGAAAAGGACACACAAAAAAGGATGATAACAAGAATGTACTCCGAGGTCAATATAAGGTAATTAGCTTTATTTATTTAGAAATGTGCTTTTTGCAACCAACAAACTGTGATGAGGCGGCGCAACGGCTGGACTGAGATAAGGGTCAATGCGAAATTTCGGTCAATTTCAGGAATTATAATCGGCTACTGCTTGTAAGCACTACATAGGAGGGTTAAATAGAGGCACACATACTTTCAAATTACTCGATAAGTCATATTGCGCTTACTGCCTACTGCCTTCCGCTTCCTAAATCATCAACTAATAGCATTCGTAACTTTTGAAGGAGAAACAGCTAAAGAATGCTTTTACAGGTGTCCCGTCCCGTTCCTCCATTCCGTGGAGATGAGGTGATAGTGGCGCGACATTCCGAGACAATTGCTGAGGTGTTTCCGGATTGGATACAGCGTGCCAAACTGGATGAAGCTTCTTATCATCCTTTCGATCTGGTCAGTAGCAAATAGTGTATGGGCTCCACGCAGATGTGAAACAATAATAATCTTTATCAGTGTAAGGGGCGGAAACCAAGCCGGATTATTCAACTGGGAAATGCACGCAGCGATTCTGAGCTGTTGAAGCCGACTTGTTAAGGGTTTAGGCCCATGTCTGCACGAAGAAACCTACGAGTTCGATCTTTGCCGAGTCGAAGCCATGCTCTGCAAAGACTATGAAGTGGTGTCAGTGCCAACGTCATACGTGGTAACTGGGAAGTCACGAGAGATTGCCGATGACATGTTGGCTGATAGAGAATCCTAGGCACAACAACTGTGCGCATTGTCTCTGAAGGAGCCAGTGAACAGGTGGGTATGTGGACTTACGTGCGTCCTAGGATGCGCGAGCAAAGTGCGCGACGAAGTTCGTAACGATTTGAACGACTTTGGCGCCTATCATTGGGGTCCAAATTTGAAGTAGAGTAGGTTGGAAGGCTCATCTGATCCTACTAAACTACTCTACTTCAAGTTTGTGCCCCAAAAGTTGGCGTCAGAGTCGTACAAATCGTCACGAACTTCGCCGCGCAAATTGCTGCGCTCGTCCTCGGACGCACGTAGTGCACGTCCCCCGAAACAGGTCAACCCTTATTTTTTATTGGTTCCTTCAGAGACTTTTTGTATTGTTGTTGTGTCAACGTCATCTGGAAGAAGCTAACAAAACCCCTGCCAAGTTCTGCGGACAGTATGCGAAGGCTCAGAAGAGTGAACAGCTCGAGCCAAAGAAGTGAGCCCGAACAGGGTTTCTGAACGTAGTATCGCTTATTGGGAGGTCACAAGAGATTGCTGATTTTGTGAAGCGCAGGAGCATCCAAGTCCTGTATTTCAGTGTCACACCGAATAGAAACAAAAGCCAGAAAAATTTTCGGGTGTCAAACTAAACTATAACGGAGAAGACACTAAACGAAATGGTGTGGCTATAGTTGTAGCAGAGTGCCTCAAAGTCACTGTTTTCAGTGTTGACAGGATCATTAATCGAACCACGGCTGTAAGGATAGACACGAATCTAGACGCTAAATATGTACAAGCACCGCAGGCCAGCTCTCTCAGGTCCACAGATGGACTGAGTGAAGACAAGTAAAGCAGGAGTGAAGACTCTAACAAAAGACGCGAACTCAGAAGGGCTAACTTCCACACTAGTTGCAAGAGCCTCGTCAAAGCCACCGTAGCGAAGCCAAAGAATGCGGAAATGGTTTCTTCGATCGAGAAGCTCGGTGGCCGAGAAGGAAAGAGGCTTGGGCTAGTAGAGGTGCGGCAACAAATTGTAAGGCATCGTGGTAGTGAAGGCTATGAGGGAGATCGAAGATGCCATTTTGAGGGAGCACTAGAGGTCCAGGCCAAGTGGAAAAAGTACATGAACAGAATCCCAACGGTGACGCGACAGAGTGTTCCGACCTGTACGAGAGGGTAATCTACCCAGGATTGAAGCATCGGCCTGATGCTGAATTATCCAGCGGACTTCATCTTCATAGCTTGGCAGTTAATGGAGGAGTATTAAGAAACGCGTTGACGTGGCTGCCTAGCATTTCTTGATCAGGGAAGGGCGTCGGATCGTTTACTGCAACTACCCTTCAAACGCGAAACTTTCCAGAACATCTAATTTCTCTGGTGAGAACATATACGATCGATCTAAGACGACTCCTATTGACCTAACAAGAGCAACGGCACGGTTCAAAAACGGCCTCAACTCCGAAACTCTTCCTGCTGGCTTCGGATGTCATCACAGAGCGACTCATAAATGAGCTATCGAAGACCTCTAGCTGACGAAATCGTTCTGATGGTAGAGAGGAAAGCAACCTGCAGGAAATGCAGGCTCCAGCAAATCCCAAAAAGACCAAGCTCCTCAGCCCTGAGGAGTCACCGTCACGGCCGATCGTAGTTTGCTTGGGAGAAAAGGTCGGAAGATTGAATGAGTTCAGAAGAATGACCTGGCTGCTGGCGGTAGTGTGGGCCATGCTGTAAGCTTGAATAAACGCGGCGTGTATTAAATGAGGAGTCCAGTGGTATTTTCGGTAACCAGCGATGATCCGGGAAGCTCAAGGGAAAGGTTTGCACAGCAGAAGTGAGACCCGCGATGCTCTAAAACAGTGCTGACCCTAGGGCAGTAGTCATGAAATAGGACTTCAATCAGCCCAGATGAGGTCTGTTGTCCTGGATGGCGAAAGAAGCGAGGAAATCACAATGGACATGCGGACCGCTTCTATCAAATATTATTACACGCACCCGGGCAGGTTCCTATGACTCACGAATATAGCTACAAAATTGAAGCAACAATTCAGGCTGCTATACCGCTGTTCGGTTATAAGCCACCAGTCAGGTCACCCGGTTTACGCCGAGCTCTCACAGGAGGGCATCACTTTTATTCATCACTGAGAGCTTGAGTGCAGTGGTGAAGGAGTAGCTCGCCTTACCTGTATATTGAGTGGTTCTGAGCAGAAGAACATAGCTTCTACCGGAGCCTGAGGAGGAGAGGAGCGCCGTGATGGGGATGATTACCTCGTGCGAAAAGCTAAGAAGAGGTATTCAACTGACTCACCCACCCACTCCCTACTGAAGCTCACTCAAAAAAACTCTATGTTCTCAGCTGAAAAACGTTCTGAGCACATTTATGGGCCGACCCCCTTATCTGCGCGTAATATTGAGTAAAAAAGCGGGGTCTCCCATCTACATTAACACCTCCGATATTGTATAGACATATTTATGTGTATTACATAGCACATGCCAGCACAGATCGGAACCACAGCTTGAAGCATCCACTTAACTCCACATTATTCACTTCACTCCGCAGTACTCACTCTACTCCGTTTATCTATCCACAAAGTTACTGCTTTATACAGTGCGTCGCCAAATGATACAGCCACCCCTGATTTCCCCAAAAGCTCACAGTATTTGATGTTTCTGAAGAGCTGCCAAAGTAAAAATGTGTCAAATTTGAATTGCAATGCAATTGCACATTATCACCAAATTCCAGCTCGAATAGACAAACAATTTTTTTGGTAAATTTTTCAGTGGTGGGTGCTTTCCAACGTCGCCAAATGATACAGCCATTAACAAAATTAATTTATTTAACAACAAACATACAACAAGGAGAGAATGTTGCAAAGTCAATAATCAGCTGACCCACCATTCTTTCGAATTACTTTGATAATACGGTGGTCTAGGCTCGAGTAAAACATTATCGGTCAGCTCCTGGGTAACTTGGTGCCATGCTTCGATTATCGCTTTTTTCAACTCCTTAACGCCTCGGAGTTGCTTGTTTTAGGCGTAGATCTTCCGCACCATGAAGCCCCATACATTTTCCATCGAATTGAAACCGGAGTTGTTCGCCGATCAGGGCAGAAGTGCCGAGAGAACCAAGATAGGATGCTCCTGCTGACGTAAATTCTAGCGTTATCTTGCATTAAAACAAAGTTCGGTGCAGATTCTGACGCCAAGAAGGGAGAAGTGCACGGCGCATAACCGTTCGACAGAAGGATGAGCTCATCTCCTTTGATACAAATCATAAACGGGGAAGCCTGCTCGATGAAGTTGCGGCTCAAACCATTACTCTCATCCCTTGAAGTTGCGTCCAGAAAACTGAAGTTCCTTTTCCTTCAGGTCGTGCCTGTGAGGTCGGTTTGGACCATCACAATTAAACTTCTTTTCATCGGAAAAACCGACTTGAAGAACAAAAATTATCAAGAAGAGGAAGGTCAAATGTCAGCACATGAAGAACACTTGGTTCCGTTGCACAGTCTGGCGAAAGCGACCCTAGTTCCTCGATGTCGTTCTGTCATGAAGGACGCCTTACTCTTTTTCCGCTTGAAAATGAACTTGGACTTTCTGATCACCTTCCAAACAGTGCTTTTTGAGACAGAAACAAATGGATTTCCATACAGGATTGGTGGAGTTCGACGCTTCCCTCAAAGTACGGCGCTCGTCTCTGTCGGAAAGCAGCGAAGGACGTTCAGCACTTCTTCTGGTTTATCATAGGCTTCAGGACCTTGACGAAATTATCCATAACTGTGTGACATCGACCCAAATCTCACGCGATTCTGCGATTTGACAGTCCCTGCTCCTTTTTCGCGAGGATTTGACTTTATTCGAATTCCGAAAGCAAATTTCTCTTCCCATTGCCTAAAAATGAAGAACGTCACATGATCGAAGCAATTTCGTTGCGTTGAACTAAAAAACGACACGAAGACATGAAGTGGCTGTATCATTTGGCGACGTTGGAGAAGCACCCTTTACTGAAAAATTGACCAAAAAAATGTTTATGTTTTCGAGCTGGAATTTGGTGATGATGTGCGAATTGCAATTCAAATTTGACACATTTTTTACTTTGGCAGTTTTTCAGAAACATCAAATGATGTAAGTTGTTGGGGAAATTAGGGGTGGCTGTATCATTTTGCGACGCACTGTATATAGGGAGGAAATTTAGAATAGGGCTGGTTTTTCCCTATCACTACCTCTAACATAGTCACGAAGTTCCCGGATGGACAGACAGGCAAAACGACTCACCAAGTTACTGCTTTATAAATAAGAGAGATAATGAAGGCCCGCAGAAATAGAAGAACAAAAACAGCCGAAGGTAGAACACCAGAAGACCAGGAAAGGTGATAAAATGAGATAAGATCGTCGGATCGCTGAAGCCTTTGAGGTGCTGGGAGATTCCTCCTTCCATTTTTAATATTGTAATAGTGATAAACTTTATTGAACTCAGCACAAAATCAATCCTCCGTCACTGAGAGAGTCAGGGTTCGAAATTTTGTTTCGGGTCACTCATAAGAATTCTTCTGTGTCTTTTTACACTACCATTTAGTGGCTCCTGTAAAATTTCTGCCGTAGTCGCAGCGTGAGCACCCTCTCACGACAGTGTCCGACACGCTTATTATCCTTATGAATTTCAGGCTTCAAAGAAAGTACAAACAAATTGTTGTTACAGAACATGCCGGTGAGAGTACCACGGCGTAAGAATTTGAAGGACGCGTACCAAAGTGATCCACCCATCAGTGAGGTGGGTTGATCAATATTTCACTTTCCAAAATTTCTCGGTTTTCTACGAATCAGCCAATCAAGAATGTTCCAAAAACATCATAACGCAGTTCAGGTCGGAAGAATTATGGCGCAGATATTCGCACGTGAGTTGGTCACTCGGAATGCCGTCCCGAAATCCATATACACACCCCCGACTCTGGCGTGTGTTCAGACAGCAGCAGACATAAGAAGTTTCATCGGGTATTCAATAGCACAGCTTTTTGCAACTTCTCCGGGTAACCTTCGAAAGCTTATCTTCAGCAGCGAATGCGATGGAATTTACGTCGAGCCAGCACTGGCATACGATCAAGGCGCTTCTGAAAAGTGGATGAGCCTCAAGGAATTCAATCAGCTCAAGTACAACGTAAACGAGGACTACACTTCAGAACAGAAAAGTGTGAGTGAATCCATCTGGTTCACTTGCAGGAAAGCGATATGGCATAGTGGGAGCTGCGCAATTCATTTTATTAAGCGAATCACTCACTTTGTATGTGAAGTCGTCGACTCGTCATTACGCCGGTATATCAGTCTTCCAGTCCACATTCCGAATCGGTTGAAAATTTATGGCAAAACCTCTGGTAATATTTAAGAAGAACTAGCCGGTCTTGCAGAGTCACCCATGTTGCTATGATGGCTAATTCAACCTTCTTTCATCCTGCTATGTGCATTCTGACAAGTATGTGTGTGCGTATGTGTGTATGTAATTGTAACGACCAGGAATTGATGAAAGCTTTTGCTCTGAACCTTAGCCGATTAACGCTGTAAGAATAGGGAAATGGAAATGATAAAGGCTAACAATATGAATTCGAGGCTCCCCCTTATACCTCAGCTGCCGTAATAAGGTCGAAAAACGTCCTGGATAGGGCGCAATGAGGGGATAGAGATTGTATCGTGCGAATGCCACACCCATAATGGACGAGTTTATTGGCTTTGTATAGGCTGCCCCATCTCAAAAGGCTCATATATAGGAAGTTCAAACAACTTGCAAAAGTCCATGGCGACAGCGGAAGGCAGTTTTGGACAATTTCGGCTTGATGTGGTCATCTGTTTGCGTAATGGGAGCAAGTTAAATCTCGTCCAAATACCCTTTACATACCATTCTCGTCACTGTGATCCCGTACAACCTCCACTTCCACAACTTTTAAAAAGCCTTTAAGAAGCGGATTTTTACGCTTTCTCAGCTACCGATGTACTCCTCTACATCAACACTTCCGCTTATAAACCTAAAAAGGGTACCTTGAAACTATCGTGAACTGTGCCTTTAAGCCTATCGTATCACTAATAAGAAAGGGTGTAAGCCAATATACTGAAAAATTGTATTGTTCCTCGACATCACATTATGGCTACTATGCGTCAAGTGTTAGAGACTCTTCAAAAGTTATAGCTACTTTGTTTCAATTAGTTGCGGCCAACCATTTGTTTGTGGAAACCTTGGCATTGATTCATACAGTAGCGCTCAAAAGTATTCTACCAAATACTTCTTCAGTCGTAATTTCAGGCGTAACTACTTTCCTATTGGATCGAATCAATATGTGTAGCATGGGTATGATGTGAATATTTACCACTATTAACACTCAATCTGATCATCCGAATATTTCAAAGAGCTTGAAATCAAAACCAACTGGAAACACAGGCATTGGTGCTTCTAGGAATTCTTCCCTTTTTGCCATGTCCAAAGTGTACGAGCGCTAATGTCGAACACAGTGGGTGAGAAAAACGCACATAAGGTGCGAATAACTGCAGACGTCACAAACTTGCTTTCAGCAAAGTCTACAATCGCCTTCCCCATAGTTATGTGGACATTGCTGCTCTGCAGTCAAATAAGGTTGGATAGTGTGAAATATGCTTCACTTAAACATATCGAAATTTCATGCGATTTGCTCCACTGAGAAAACCGTTACGGCCGAAAAACTGCTCAACCGAATACTATTGAGCGCTACTGTATATCCATAATGATAAATAAGGTAACGAGCAACGTTTATTCGATCGCTGATTTCATTGTTATCATCCGTCGTCAACAGTAGTGAGCGTCACAAGCTTCTGCTCTCTTAATAACTCAGATATAAATAGAAATGCCCCTGCGCGATGAGGCCCAAAAAACGAGCGAGTCCTCAGTGAGTGGTCATTTTTGAGATGCTTTCCTGATTACGCGCACCACAACACCTTCGGTAGTTTTATGGTCGGAATTGTTCTATATTCATCGAGAAAGAGGTAATTCTTAAATTGACCACAACCCTATCTGTTCGCCTGGAGAGGGAAGAAGGAAAAATATTGTTCTTCTCCATCCATTTTATTTTATAGAAGTAATCCTCTGCTTGCGAGCCACGACTTCGATCTGTTTACAATGTTAATGTTATAGAACCCTCTCAGATTTCTTCGAGACATCATAGTAGTCTACTCATCGCTCCATAACAAGGTTTTGTTCTGGTACGGCGATACTAGCCTTGAGGATACCAGGTGCCGCTCAGTAAAAAAGTAAAATGAGAAATTTCAGCGTTCCCTTTTCAAGTCTGATGGCATGAAGAAAATGTTGTCCAAACTAGCGGAGAAAAAGAAAGGAATAGGTGCGTCTGAAACTATTAATCAGTCTTGTTCAAGATGTGAAAACGGTCTGGAAAAGTAAGTACAGTATATAAGGAGAAATGATGGTAGCAATCCGGCCAGTAGTCGCCCTACTTCGCCATACATCCCAAAATGCTCGGCCTTCCTGATCTTTGATTCCTTGTGGTATGCAACAGAGTCCCGGTATTTCGTTTCGTGACAACGTTCAAAGCACCGAGATCTTCTCTTCATTTGCGTCTGACGATAAACTCAAAACACTGTCCTTACTACAGCGCGTCGAATGACGGTGACTGCGTTTCAATCCTGTCTGCGCACGGCTATGAATCTGGGGCGAGGTCCAAAACAGGAAAGAAGGAGCAGGGGGTCTAGAATATGGGAACTTAGAGGTTCTCCAACTTCTTTATTACTTCCTTGATCACCTCAAATGCCCCACACGCCTCGCCTTCATTTTGCTCAGCTGCGAAGCTAGGTCCTTCACCACGTTTACTCTTAAACCCAGTTTCACGCTGTTGGATTATTCAGCGGTGTTCGAATCGCGTGAATGTCACCGTTTGGTTTAATCTCCATTAGCGTTTCTTCCCACTAGTCTTTTCGAGGACCACTAATCTTTTGGAGGATTTGTTCCGCTTGCTTGATATTTGGTGTCATAAGCACGTACTTTCTGTAAAGCGGAGTTGTTGTGAGTAGCAGCCGTGGTTCTTCACTGTCATGTCTTCCCCTCCCAAGTGTTCTTGAAAGCGGCACTAAAAAGTTTGCGCAGCATGGAATCGCTCTGTCAAGCGCTCCCTCCAAATCTCACTTCATAGTACTATTAGTTAGGCGAAATATTGGTTGTGATGTTCTGTAGAATTCATTAATCACGTACCTTATGTATTGAGTGGGAACATCCCAGTCTCCCACTCAAATTACCCCCTTTTGTCTCGACTGTATCGAATACCGCTTGAAACCGATGAGCATATACATTATCTATTGAGAAGGTCCGCAAAGAGCGTAACCAAGGCCCTTCGCTGCCGTACGGAGGGTTTCTTCAGATTGGTCGAGCCCTTTTATATTTTTCGCCTGTATATACCCACGTTTGCTTGCCAGGATTCGCAGTCACTGAAATGTGAGATTTGCTCAGGTCGATGTGCAAGATACCAAACGAATCCGCAAGCACTCCCCACACAGATATATCTGAGACGAGACAGAAGGTATAAAGCGACCGCAACAGAAACAATGAGTCGATTTCCTGAATCCGCTTGCGTCTATGGGCGAGACCAGTGATTTTGGTTATTTATCAAGTCACGTAGCCTCATCATCAACTAGCTAGAGGTCCTTCATCGAGAAGAAACATTCAGTGAAGGATAGCAGTGGATAAGGGGCAAAAAAAAAGAAGTTCGGTAGTTCTATTATGCTGTCTGCTAAAAACGATCGTTTATCAAATTATAAGAAGTATAGGTCTGTGGGAAATTGAATAGCGCCAGGTTCCGCAGTTAACGCAAGCCCAGTTCATTTCACTCTGGTGCACCTGGAGCGTCGACCTGTTCAGCTGTATCCAACATGGACACCTCGCTTTGATCGTTTTGCTAAAAGTAAACAGGGAACGGAATGCGCTTTTAAAGGACATATGATGATCGTCTCTTTTGTACACGCGCATCATTCAAACATGATGTTGTACTGTTTCAACGAATTTAGCAGGCTTTGAGCCTTTTCCTGCATAAGTCTCTCTCTGCCGCTCTCGCCCTTTCTATTATGTACGAAAGACATCCTGACTCTCCACATACGAGGGCAAGGATGAGTGTCAGTCGTCAACCTAGCCCGTCGTAACGAAATGTACCCCTCAGGTGCTGATCACTGTACATTGCCAGCAAAAATTTTTAGTTACTTTTCGTTCGATCAGATCGGGATTTCGTTTCAGTGCTAGTCATACTGGAAGCACAAGGCCTGAAAGCACTCGCTGACCTAGAAGGCAATAGAGGAGATGATATTAAAGAGGTGAATGTCTTGTTTGTGACTATTAAGAACCCTCGACTGTCTTCAGGTTTTCTTCCTATGAGGTCCTCACATGTTTCCTTCCGATTTCGCTGAATAGTTTGTTGATGTGTATACTTCATATGTTCAATTTGTAGTGTCCTGCTCTTCGTTCTCCTTTTGAGACTTTCTTATTTTCTTGTTTTTAGTTTAATAGAGTATATTTCACTTAACAACACTTACAGCTATCTCCCAGTATGTTCCCTCCGATGTCGTCGATGATTTTCAGTCCCACTTCCGAAAAAGGATCTGTAAGTGTGGATTACGCCTCTTTCAGAATTCTCCTCAGATTGAAAAGAAGCGAACAGTGAAGGACGAAGTTTTTTTACAATAATCAATCTCGTTTCGGCATGCGCCGCCACATTCAACTTCCCTTTAAAATGGTAGTGGTGTATTGAAAGCAATCTTTCTATATCATTACTTGCTGTGGCCAGCCGATGTTCAAGTCAAAGTTGGTGTCCTCTTCGAGGTGTCTAGTACCATTCAACCAATCCAGGAGGGATGGGGTTGTCCTGGCCCAGTATCAATCCGAAGGGATTCGATACCCGTTAAACGCGTGCGATAATGCGACACTTGCACAATGGAATCCGCAAAGAAGCAAACATAATATGTTAAAACACTTGCTCAAATCAACTGGTTCTATGGCTCTATTCACCCTGTTCAAAATCTCACCTAGCAATTCCGAGAAGCACATGACAAGTTGTCATTTCAAATTGAAGGATCAGCGAATTTAGGCACGAAGATGTTGCTTTTTGGACTAAGCTCTTCTAGCTGAGTTTATAAATCCAGCGCGCATACCACTTCCGACATCTAAGGCCGTACAAAGATTGGTCGTTCAGCGGTGGTTCTGAATCACATCCAGTTCTGATTGCTTAGTGTCCCACAGCTGGCTTCTAAGTGGTCCCGAATACCGGACTGACCTACAGTAAGTGGTACACCTTGAATCAGGTGGTGACTTCTGAGGTCTCAAAGTTTCGTAGGGTAGCTAAGGTGTTTGGTCGGGTAGTCGTATATCCTTCCAAGCTCTGTTAAAGGCGATCTCACAGAAACGTCAGCCGTCAATGAAGACTCATGTCAAACTTGCTTGCTTGGAGTACAGGCAGAGGAGTCAATGACTACACCTGTGAATTCTATTTATGTTCCACACTTGTTGCAAGGGATATGATATTAGCAGCCACCGCGAGATCGGCCAGGAGCGAAGGGATTTGCATTTGAATCTTCTTCCACACAGTTCGACTCCTTTATCAGGGACCAGGCAGCTACGCACGCTATCGCGCGCACTGGGGGCTCTAGCCATAAGGGACGGAGCCACATAAGCTTCTAATTTTCATTATAGACCTTTATCAACTGAGCCTCTTCCCTTACACTTCTGTAACGGCCATCACTTTTTGCCTCATAGGAAGCACGGAATATTTTTTCGCTAGAACACGAAAACTCGAACTGACGGGCAGTTCAAGAAGAGCGTTTGATGTTTAATAGAAAAGTCTGTCCAGCTAAGCTGAAGTATTAGCATGATATACATAACACTTGATTTTGAAGCATGTAATTTATCAAAGCAACACTTCGGTATACACAATATTCTTCAGCAAGGGCGTCGAGGATTGAATCTTGATCCCTTCAGGTGTCCTCGCTCTTGAGAGGGCGACGTAAAGCTGTCCATGAGCAAACACGTCTTCTGGAAGGTAGACACCGATTTTGCTAAAAGATTGGCCTTGGGCCTTATTAATAGTCGTCGCAAAAGCCACACGAATAGGAAATTGCCTTCGACGCAGACGGAAGGGCGTTCTTTTGTCCCAGTAATTGTCGATTCTCGGAATAATGGCTAGTTGACCGTTGCGTTCCCTATTGAAAAATCGACATCCCAAAGTA